AAAAAAAAAAAAACTATATTACTTTACAGATGTATAGTTTAAAATTAAATAGTACACCAAACTTTAAAAAGAAAATTGTACGTTTTCTTTTCCGTTTTACTTCATTGATTGTCTTTAATAATTATCCTTTGCCATAGTCCTTGGAATACTATACTTTGTCTTTAGGTTACTGTACTCTATTATTGAGTTACTGTACTGTCTTGGAGTCTCTGCATTATTGATTATTGTTAGTACATTGTTTTTATCTTTTCATCGTCTCGATACATATGCTTCGTAAGAACATGTTCCATTTCACTATCATTATTGTTAGATTTTGGATGTGATTCGAAATTCTTGTTAAAATAATTGAAGAATTTTAATTGAAGTATACTTCATGAAGAATTCAAATTTAGAATATTATTGGAGTCCTATATCATATTTAAGTTATATTTTGAAAGTCCATTAGAAGTTGTAAATTGTTTTGAACTCAATTTTATGGTATCTTACTTCATCAACAACTCTACTAGGTGGGTGTGGACATCCCTTACTTATTCCCTATAAATATTAGGCTCTTCTATACAATTTTATAATGTGAGAAAATAGATTACTAGAATTATAGGATCCATTGTAATTTTCTCTATTCTCCATTATTTTTGAATTAATAAAATCTCTTAATTCCTTTGATATATTCTTGTCTTCTTTATTCTTTTACTTGATCAAATATTTCATTATTATTTGTTATATAACTTCAACATCTCAATCCGATGGTTTGTTCCACAATAAATGATATCGGAGATATTCTGGTATCTTGTTTGTTTTATCAGAGCCCAGGTTCAACATTTTCGTAGCACTAGGTTTTTTTTTTTATTTGTTTGATGTTTTTATTCATGATGGCTTCCATAAAATATGACATTTCGCTTTTAGATCGAAACATTAGATTTTCGCTATGACAGGTTAAGATGCGTGCAGTACTTGCACATGTGGATTTGGATTATACGTTGCTGAGTATTGACATGATCCCAGCAACTTTGACTGCGGAAGAGAAATTAGGAAATGATGAAAATGCAGTTGCTCACATTCATCTTCATCTATAAATTCCATTATTAAGGACGTTTTGAAGGACCTTGATCATATTGTGTTCGTTGCCCATTTTTTTCTTCATTTAGAGACACGATCTTATATAGTTGTGATACTCTCACCATTGAGGAGGTTTATAATGCTTTATTTTCAAAAGAGAAGATGAAGCATCTGGTTTCTGAGGTCAAAGATGAAGAAAGCCTGGTTACTCATGGTAGTTCTAGAAGGGAAAGATCGAAATCTAAGTTCAGTAATCAAATTTGTAACTATTGAAGGAAGAAGGGGCACCTAAAGAAAGATTGCTACAAATTGCAAAATAAAGAAAGGATGGCTGCAAGTAGATATTTAGATACTTTAGGTGAAGCAATTTCGTGGAGAACGTTGTAAGTGATGGGGAACTCTTATTTATTTCTAACATTGAGTCAAAACCAGAAGATGATTGGATTCTTGATTCAGCATGTGTGTTTCATATGTGTCATAATAAGGACTTGTTTGCTACATATGAAACTGTTTCCAAAGGTGTTGTAGTTATGAGAAACAACGCATCTGTCGAGTTGTTGGAATTGACACAGTTAGATTGAAGTTTTTGGATGGAACAATTAGAACACTTGACCAGATTCGACATGTTCCAGATTTGAAGAAAAATCTCATTTCGTTGTCTATTCTTGATTCAAAAAGTTATGAGTTCTTCGACGGAGGTGGAGTATTGAAGGTTTGTAAGGGTATCCAAGTTATATTGGAGGGATAAAAAAAGTCTCAGTTATACATCTTGTAGGGTCATGCAGAATTTAGAAAAGTCAATCAGCACAAGTTTAGGACCGTGGTGGACATTCAGTTTTGTACAATACCTTTACGAGCTCATAACTGGTCGGATTTGAAGAATACAATTCAGTGGATTTCAGGAGATATGGATAATTCCGCTTTGCCACCATCACCTGCGGTGCTATTGTATTCAATTGTTAGGGATGGACCAAATGGAAAATGGTATGTACATACTGATTTTGTTAAGCATGCTTTAAGTAGAGTAGAAGGAGTACAATCTAGCAATGAGCCTTCTGTAAAAGCAATTGCTATTGATTTTGCTTTGGGGTGTGTTACAGCCCATTTTGGTAAATTATAAAATCATTATGATTTTTTGGAATCTGTAGTAATTCTGCAGAGTAGTACTTGGATTTATTGGAAAAGATGGAGTATTTTGTATTTGATTGGAGAAATTAATTTTTTGGTTATTGTTGAAGAAGCCGTTCATTTCTTGGTGAAATTCGTGTCAAGGTGGAGATTGTTAGAATTTGGGTGTGACCCGAATTTCTTGTTGAAATAATTGAAAAATTCTAATTGAAGTACACTTCATGAAGAATTTAAATTTGGAATATTATTGGAGTCCTATGTCATGTTGAAATTCTATTTTGAAAACCCTTGGGAGTTGTAATTTGTTTTGAACTCAATTTTATGGTATCCTA